TTGCTTAATAAATACAGCATTTAATTTTTCCAAAATAGTTTTAAAAGCGGACTGTAAAATGCCTTAGTAATCCGAATAATTTGATAATCCGGATTGGTCTGGTTTTAATTGATCCGGATTATCGCGACACTACTGTATTTTGAAATTAAAAAAAATCCGGCAACATTGCGAAATGATGGATGTGGAAAGGCGTGATTATTCAGAGGCATGATTTTATTGGTTAGAGCTTAAGGTTAGAGCCTGAATGACAGCACAGTGGCGTGGCTATTGGCGAAACTTAAAAAAAAAAATCTAATAATTTTATTGGTTCATTTCCTTGGTGTTTTCGGTGCCACTGAACCCAAAGAGATGGCTGTCATCGAGCGGTGTTAGTTGAGGTGTCAGTGTAAATATTCTTAGGTTACGCCCCACTTTTCTCCCCCCTTTCGTCTCTATCAACTTACCACTTGCCAGACTATATACATCATAGTCAGGGTTGCCATCATTCCGGTTTTGACCCTGAGTCAACGGATTTTTCAGGTAATTCTACGGTCTCCGGATTACATGTATATTTCTCCGGGTAGAACTCCGTAGGAGTTATATGAAAACCAAGATACAGATATAAAACATGTTTCCTGAAAAATGCATGCGACTTGAATGGCATGCCAATATGATAACGGCGTAACAACACATTTCAACCTCAAATTACGCAATACAAATTCTTTCGCGAAGATTAACCAAATACTGGCAAATACAGAGAGACAACGTGATAGAATGTTTGTTCTCACCGAAATCACAAACCAGTCGAGCGAATTTCATTGGTTGAAAATCGTCAGAAAACTGGTTGTTGGCGATTTGCACCAATCAAAAACGCTCTGACTAGTTTCTGAATTCTGTAAGAATAAGAACAGACCTAGAAACACAGCTCATGGGGTCTGTTTTCAGTTTAATGTTGAAATGATTGGGTGATTTGCGTCACATGGCAAAAAACAAGAAAATTTAAAATTAGGTGCTAGCTGACATCACACACATAACCTGAATGATATGTTTGTCCCCCTATCGAAAGTCACGTTATGTCATTGGTGACAAACTAGCGTCTGTGTGTTAAATAGACGTTTCAAATGCTTTGTTTGTCCCCCCAGCGGAAATGAGGTTATGTGTGTGACGTCAGCTAGTGCATAATTGGCTATTAGAAGTGTCAAAAATTTTTCTTCAAAATTGTAGGTACAGGGTTATTGGTTATAAATGTCACCCCCCTCTATCTTTTTTATTTGACATTTTAGAAAAAAGTGTCCCAAATAAAAGTTTTATAGTTGAAATTAAATTTTTTGAAAAACTCACTTTCGCATATACAGGGTGTTTCAGAAAAGCTGGTCGTGCTCCAAATTTTTTATTTCAAATGGAATACCCTGCATATTATTAGATATTCGGATTCCATGTAAAATTCTGAGCAGATTTCATGTGATATACCCTATACCTAAGTTCAACTGTTTTGAAATATTGACAGTTGAAAATTGACTTTTTTGCAACTTTGACAGGCTGTAAATCCTAAACGGTTAATTTTAGAGCAAAACCGATCTTACATTTTCATCTTAGATTTTTATAAACTATCAGTTGACACCAATATTTGACATCAACTTTGAATTTATTCCATGATTGAAAGTTCCAATTAAATTTAATCTTCGAAAGAAAGTTGGAGCACAACCAGCTTTTTTGAGACACCCTGTATATGCAAAAGTGAGTTTTTCAAAAAATTTAATTTCAACCATAAAATTTTTATTTAGGACACTTTTTTCTAAAATGTCAAATAAAAAAGATACAGGGGGGTGACATTTATAACCAATAACCCTGTACCTATAGATTTTAATAATAGCGTTTATTTGCAATCATATATGTAATCTTGTCATTACTGACTTTTTAAAAATTTGGAAGTGTCACTTTACCTGTGTCACTTCCCTCTTCGATTTCCCTCACCGATTTCCCTATTCGACTTCCCTCACCGATTTCCCTCACTCTAATTTATTTACCTTTGCTGGCAACAATGAGAACATGTCAGGTAAAACCGTCAAAGCAGTGAATAACACATTTTGGCATGTTTGTTTTATTTTTTTAACATTAAAAAAATTGATTGACTAATCGTAATTATTGGTGTGCTTGCAAATAAAATAGTATACAAACCTCGGAGGAAAGTTTTCATTTCTGTCTCGAGATTGACTATATAAATCTCTCGACAGTAATGAAACACTTCCCTACTCGGTATGTAATATACTATTATTATGTTGTTCCTGGAATTAAATGTTTTATTTTTAGTTTTTGATTTGTTTTTATGTTTGTTTTGTTGTTTCAATCAAGATATTTTTGGGAAATGCCATTTTTATTTCAGTCGCGGAAAAATCTCCGGGTGTAATCAATTTCAAAATTTGGCAACCCTGATCATAGTTTACATAAATATTATATTAAGTTTATTGTAGTGGCTGTAAACCAAACCCAAAAAAAAAGTACCTACCTAATAATAATAATAAACTATATCGATATATTTGAATCGATATTTTACATTCGATAGGTATATCGAAAAAAATATCAATATACCTAGATAATAAATTTTTTGATATATCGGAACTTTTATAATACTAGTTAATTAGTTGACAGTGACAGTCTGACAGTTGACAGAGGCGGCTAAAATGAAACAACACGTCAGTTAGGGCGTGTGCGTAGCAATTAAATGAGGAAAAGACATTTTCCGCATGATTAAGAAACGTTATTTTTTACGACCGTGCGGAGAAGTAATTTTCCGCACGCATTTCAGGACATGAAGTACCACGGTGACTTAACATTGCATAATTATTTTACTTTTCCGCACTAGTGCCTAAATGCGTCCAGAAAATAGCTATTTATACAATAAGTTGCGAAATGAGCGTCTTTTAGGCACGCGACGTGAAAATTGTCCAACGAGGCAAAGCCGAGTTGGACAACACGTCGTGTGACTAAAAGACTTCGTTTCGTAACGTATTGTATACAAGATTTTTTCTACTGGCGTTTCATAATAAAAAAACACAATTTTATTTCAATGTTTGTCACCTGCTTTTGCTCGACACCTTTTATGGTGGTGACTAATGTTGGGGTTTTTGTGGTTATAGTAAAGCACGCTATTTAGCTACTCGTTTATTGGACAGATTATGAAATTCGGTTCATTATAATTTAGACGATTTCGCCACGTTTTGGTAACCCACTGTGGTTGGTCAAAAATGTACCAACCAATTTCGGCACGAAAAACAATGACGTCACGATAACTTTGGTATCTATTTTGGTATGTCAAATTGGGTACCGAGCTTGGAGCACGGTTATTTGAATTGGTAGCTTGCTATCTCTCTCTAATTTGGAGTAAGTTAACCTCACTTTTTTGTTTATAATTGAAATCAAAAACAACAAATAAACACAATCAATTTTCACTATTCTCAATTTTAATTTCCAACAATAAAAAGTATTCAGTAGTTTGTTTATTTTTATTTTCCCAGGATACCATCACCATCACGTCATACACGTGACATTTGACAAACCGGCCGATTTCGGCTGAAAATGGTATGCGACGTCACTGTTGTGACGAAGAGCCTACCTAGCGGTTAACCATTTTACCTACCAACCAAAACGTGGCGAAATCGTCTTATCTCTCTCTAATTTGGAGTAAGTTAACCTCACTTTTTTGTTTATAATCGAAATCAAACACAACAAATAAACACAATCAATTTTCACTATTCTCAATTTTAATTTCCAACAATAAAAAGTATTCAGTAGTTTGTTTATTTTTATTTTCTCAGGATATCATCACCATCACGTCATACTCGTGACATTTGACAAACCGGCCGATTTCGGCTGAAAATGGTATGCGACGTCACTGTTGTGACGAAGAGCCTACCTAGCGGTTAACCAATTTACCTACCAACCAAAACGTGGCGAAATCGTCTTTTATGTTTGACTTGTGCAGAGAGTGGAGAATAATTTAGATGTTGCTTCGTTGATGGTCGTGGTAGGAGAGAGGGCTCGTCACTCCATACTCTGTAGTATTCTTGATAATTTAGAACGGCAGTGTTGCCACTATCAATTCATCAATTTATCGCGACACTGCAACTAATATTCATAATAAATACAAAACAAAATTCAAATCTGTATTTAGTGTGTTTTTTATTTCTGAACAATGAATGACACTTTTAGGCACTAGTGCTTAAAAGTTAATTTTACGCACTTGAAAGTCACTTTTACGCACTGAGTGCTTAAAAGAATGTCGTTTCAAAACTAAAATGACAATCAAAAAGTTGCTATTATGAAACGTCAGTAGAAAAAAGAATTTCTCGCACGCTCGTAGAAGAAATTTTTCGCCCCCGGCGAGCTTCACCCTCCCCCTGTAAGCAAATTTATAAAGTTATTCTGCACCCATGAGGACTTTTAAAAGTCGGCGCCTCTGGTTCCCTTCTCTGAAATTAAACTTTGATTTTTTGAATTACAATTGAAAAAGGTGTAGTGCGTGAAGTGGAATTTTCCATCTGCTGAATAGTGCGTAAAGTGAGTACTTCACGCACGGTAGTAGAAAATAGTTATGTATGCAACAAGTGTGTAAAGTGAACCTTTTTTCACGAATGTGAATTTTGACGCACGAGCCGAAGGCGAGTGCGACAATTACATGAGTGAAAAAAGGTGCTTTACGCACGAATTGCATACAAATTTTTTTCTACTACTGATCAAATATGTGTGAAAAAATAGATTTAGACAAATACTTTACGCACTAGTGCGTGAAGTGTTTTCATTTTGAGCACTGGTGCGTGAAGTAGGTAATTTTCCAGAAAAATACTAAATTGACAGTGTTGACACTAGTGTGTGAAGTGAATTACTTTACGCACTAGTGCGTGAAGTGAAATTTTACGTCTTCTGAATAGTGCGTAAAGTGAGTACTTAAGGCACGGTAGTAGAAAAAATACATTTCTGAATTCTGGAAATAATTGAATAGAAATTTTTCTATAATCTTCCAGGTATAACATATTTATTCAAAAGACAGCTGGCAGAGATCTTTAGCTCGAAAATGTTAAATAAACAATGCAATTCTTCATGATATGGTGTCTTTTATTTTTGAAACATCCAGTCTTGGCCGAATGGAATTTTTGGAAATTAATGCATCGCAAATCATTTTGGGAAGACAAATTTTCAACTGGTGAAACGGATGATAAAGATTATTGGAATGGAGTTAATGGTATGTAAGAAAGATATTTTTATGTTTTTTTGTATTCACGAAATTTTCAAAAAAAATCTTAAAAGAATAAGTTACATAATATTTTGGCTAACCTAAACCTTTTCCGATAATTTTTATGAATTATTCTAGGTCGAGTTTTGGTTAGTCTATTTGGATATCCATCCAATTGCAAACTAGAAGGAATCTCCCATGCTTGCACTTTATCAGTAGTTTGCTGGTGGGTAGGCGGTACCAGTCAGTCAGGTTGCGGTGCCAGTCCTTGGCTAGTCTCTTGCTGCGTGCCTAAAAATCTAAACTATTTTGAAAAACACTCTAGGGAGGAGGAACAAAATTTATTAGAGTAAAATAATAATAGGTTTGATCTAACCAGAAATACTATTAGTCAGATTTTTCAAAAATCAATTTTCTTGTTAGAACAAACCTAATATATCCTATATTGGTTATATAAATATTCCTTTTTAGAATTGATGAAAATGTAATTTTCCATCAGTCAATACAACGAAGAAATAATATACTGAATGATATCGACGCCGATTGTGGTATTTCAAATGATAGAGTGTTGCGGAAGCGCATTGTTGGCGGCCAGCAAGCTGATTTTGGTCAGTTTCCTTGGCAGGCATTCATCAAAATCTCGACGTATCAATGTGGAGGAGTACTAGGTGTGTTGTGCAAGCGCTCGAATCCAGCTCAAATAACAAATTGCTACTTTTAGTTTCCAGAAAATTTGTTGCTACCGCAGCTCACTGTATTCTACCCGCGAAATTATCGGAACTTTTGGTATATCTTGGTGAATTAGATACCCAGGATACGGGAGACGTTGAAGAATTAGCGCCGGCAGAACTTCATAGAGTAAGTGATTTTCTTTAAAATTATTCACTATAATATTTGTCCATGAAATGTAATAAAATATAATTGTGCAGGTAAAAAGAAGAATAATTCATCCACAATTCCGTTACAAAGCTACCCAACCAGATAGGTATGATCTGGCTTTGCTAGAACTAATAACCGAAGCTGGTTATAATTTTCACATTTCTCCGATATGTCTTCCAGAAATAGCGATGGAACTGACAGGTCTTAAGGGTGTGGTTGCCGGTTGGGGCAAAACTGATCCTTTAAGCAAGAAAACTGGCACAAATATTTTGAGAAGTGTTGCAGTTCCTATTCTAGGTTAGTATTAGACATTTATTTGAAGACTTAGGGAGATTCAAAATTACTAAGTAGGTATGTATAAATTTTACCCAGTGATTTCTTCAAACAAGATTCTAGAGTTTTGTTGTGACAAATGTGTTGCAAAAATTCTCCACTGCACATAAAGTGTACCCTAAAGATGTATTGGCAGTTCGCTTAAAAAAAATCGGAATTTTTCTTGTTTTGTTAATACTGTACATTTTTTCTAGACATAAAAGAATGCATGACTTGGCACAAAATCAAAGAAATATCAGTAGAGCTGCATCCAGAAATGATTTGTGCAGGAGACGAACATGGAAAACAGGATGCATGCGTTGGTGATTCTGGCGGACCTTTGATACTTTTAGAAAATGGCAAGTATACAATTGCTGTCATTGGTGGGAACCTACCTACCTAATCTAAAATAGTAGGTAGCAAGAAATGTAGCTTTAGGTAGATACGCTAAAAAGGCATTTTGCGGCTTTGTTATACAAATAACTAGGTATTAATAGTGTTTGTAGAAAAAATAGTAATAGTGTATGATTTGCATGCTAAAAATATCTTCTCTTCACACTGAATAAAATATGCCTTGTAGCTTATCTTCGCTAAAAATTAGCAATTTATATCGGGTCTTCAAAAAAAAAACCAATTAAAGATTGTAATGGTTTTTTGAACGTGTGTCTTAGCAATATTTTTCTTTTAATTTTATCAACAAACTTTAATCTCAAAATGTCATGTCAAAAATCCTGACCATTAAAAAAACAATAATGCGACGTACGTTTTCGAAATCAAAGCAATCTTTGTTTTTTTTTTTAAGACCCGAAATCATTAAATTGCTTTTTAATGTATTTTTTTTTTTAGGCAAATGGACTTTAGTTGGTATAACTAGTGCTGGATTTGGTTGTGGAGAACCGCATCAACCTGGTATTTACCATAAAGTCCCAATGAGTGTTGACTGGATTAAAAGTGTGATTTACCATTGAATGTGATTATTAAATAATTTTTTATAAATGTAAATGATATATTGCTTAATACGCTTGTTATTCAATTATTTATGTAATTATTGAAATACACATATAGCGTCAAAAAAATTGGACCCCCTTTATAAAACCACACCTATATTATGAATAGTAATATAACTAGTGCAATGGAAATTATTGATAATTTTTGGGAAATTTGCCCGAATGCATTTTCAGTTAAAAACGCATGAGTGCAAATTTGTCGAAAATTATAAATATATTTCCATTGCACGAGTTGTATTAAATGAGATAATTTCATAAATCAAAAATTTAAATTTTCTGTCAAAAAATGTCAAAACATCAGTTCTCGCACCAGTTACTATGCAATTATCTGATAATTTGCACTAGTGCAAATTATCACGTAATTGCGATCTGATTGGTTCAAATCAACAATCAAAACATGTCAGTTCATTGTTGGAAATTCAGTGGCGCAATTAGGGGGGGGGGGGGCTCAAGATTAGCCCCCCCAAACCCGATGCTGACAAACATGATGGTAATGACACAAATTAGCCATCCGCCCTCCCGCACCCGAGCGAGCAGATCTGAGTCGCTTTCTAGTGACGCACTTTGAGCACTCCTGAGCTGCTCTAGAGCGCCCTGGACTGTTTATAGGCGTTCCAGTGCATTAGAGTTTCGCGCAACTGAAGTTTGTTTTTACTCTCCCCTGCCCTCTGAAGCACCTGCTATTTTATGAGGGCATAAAAAACACGAAGCTTAAAGTAGGGTGCGTTCTAGTGACATAACAGTTTTTTATTCCTTTCGTCTGCGGGTCCGTGATGTCTGTGCACTGTGCACCCTGTGCACTTAGGAGGAATTTAACAGAACTTGTTTCAGTTTTTAAGTTGTTTTTAGTACCGATTTAAGTAGTTTAAGAAGTTTTAAACTCAATATATTTTTACTTACATATTATGTAAAGTGTGTGTTTTTTTTAAAGATAATTCCCCAAATCAAAAATTTAGTAACTTTGTTGGCAATACAAGCCTTTCCTACATAAAAAAATTGAAAGCATTGACAATTTTACATTGTATTGCTAACGTAATGTCATTTTGACTTTTATCTTTAAAAAAAACCAGGCTTTATGTACAGTCGTGAGCATAAAAACTGGGACACCCGTTTTTCCCTAATGTAGGGTGACCATACGTACAGCATTTCGCTGTATTGTACAGCATTTTCGAAGTCTGTCCAGCATTTGATTTTGTACAGCAAACGTACAGCGATTCGGGTACAATCATAATTAAGTTTTTCTTTAAAAAAAAATACGAAAAATTGTCCGTCAATAACTAAAGATATTTCTACATTTGCGATTTACGTCATTTACGCCATCATCTCCCAGAGTATTTTTTTTAATGCTAACTACCTTTTTTATCTCTGTCTATTCCACGCTGCTAAGAAGACGACACAGCATAACAGGTCTGTTTCTGCAGCAATCACAGACCAGTCAGGGCGAATTTCATTGGTTGAAAATTGTCAAAAGTCAGAAACAGTCAGAAAACTAGTTTCAACCTAAAGTTCCTAAGGGCCAAATTATGGACCAACTGGTAAGTGCCTGGTTGTTACCTAGCAGGTACTTTCTATTCTCTAATGCATAGAAAATACCTGCTAGGTAACAACCAGACGTTTACCAGTCAGTCCATAATTTGGCCCTAAAGTAGATTGTCTGGTAATGGTAAACAGATGACGTCATCAGTAAGATCTAATGGAGATTTGCATTATGTTTAGGCATCCAGATGATGGCATGAAAGTAATCAACCAACCTACCTCTTTCAAACAACCTTAGTTTCAACCATTAAGGTTTTCAACCAATGAAATTCACTCTGACTGGTTTGTGATTTTTGTGCGAACAGACCTATTAAGGTAAACGTTCCTATTATCGGCACCTTAAGCACCTTACATAGCCTAGGGCATAGTTTTGTTTCATTTTAATAAATAAAATACCCGAACATCCAATATTTTGATTATCGATTTTGATGACAAAAGGCGTCATATTACATACGAATTATTTATTTCAACCCAAAACTAATGCGTAATATTTATGGAAAGCAATAAATATAAAAAAATGTATGCCTTTATTAACGGCATCCTAAAATAAATTCATGTTCCAATTTTCGGCATCCAAAAGGTCCTTTTATCGGCACAGAATCAGGTTACCCAAATTCTATTAAGTTGTCTATAGTCATCAATGTGAAAAGGAGATACAACTAAGAAAATTCCTATACTTCTGTGAGCCATTGACAAATGCGGTTTTCTGTTAGGGTATTTCTAGCACACGTGAAATTTTGGGAAATTCTTGCCTCAGTTCCAGGTGCCTTTTCAAAAATAATTCATACCATTTCTGGCCAGGCCTTCGATCTGTAAAATGATTAGGTCTATCCATCTATATCTATTCTTTAGCTAGTAGTTGAACACTATCTAACAACTGTGTTTTCGTTGCAAGAAATCCACAGTCCGCAATTCGATATAGCCATGCTGCTACCAGTAAATTTTCTTCTCCGTTTGTTAGTACCGTTTCTGGTCCACATTTCTTCTCTGAAAGTGTTCTACCCTTTACTTTATCTTGAAGAATCGATCTAGGTATCTTATATAAATTGCTAGCAGTTTTGAATGGCATTGGCATTCCTGATCGAACAGCGTCAACAGCTATACTAATAGCTTCAACAGAATATTTAATTCGTTTTTTCTATTCCAGCGACCGTTAAAAAATACATTTCTAATTATCGGCACGTGAATGTGTGTATTATCGGCACAGTTTTCAAGTTAAAAAAAGGCTAGTATCTAGTAGAAATATGGGGTGCCGAAAATTGGTCCGGAATATCATCGCTTCATATTGCATATAATGACCAAACATTTCTTATGATAAGCTAAAAGTTAAAGCTATAATCGATCTCAATACCAACCTATACAAACAACCAATTATCGGCACAGCTGCCGATGATTGGGTCAGCAACTTATATTAACGTACCCATTATCGGCACCCATAAAATACTTGGAAAAACATGAAAAAAAATAGTTTTAAACCTTACAAATAATGAAAATAATGATATCTAAACATACAAAACCTAATAAAACGTTCATACAAAAGATTAAGCAGGAAGTATAACACGATGTAGCTTACCTGTTTCTTAACACATGTAACAAGAAAAGCTTGACACAGGAGTTTGGCGCCAACTGACCAATATATTTTTGACAGTTAATTGTCATTACCGATTTAGGCTGAAGATCGGTAAATTTTGCAAGGGCGTAGATCAAGGTCCGCAGAAACGCGTAAAATACTTTTTCTCAACTATCTTCCGGTAGAAACCTTATTTTTAAGGGTTGTACAGAATAAGTGCCGATAATTGGGGTAGTGCCGATAATAGGAACTTTTACCTTATGTCTTTATATTTATAAAAATTAATGCCACTTTTCGTTGTAATTTTATAACTCAAGAACGGGCTCACCTAGCCAAACCAAATTTTTAGGCTTTATTCGGACTATTTATTAGATGGTTTATGTGAAGTTTGCACAAAATCGGTCGAGCGGTTCTTCATTTATCACATTTTTTGTTATAAATGAATTAAGTATTCAATAAATGGAGGATCATTTTATTACTGGGGATTTTGCTGTCAAATTGGAACTTTTTTCAGCGTTGACAGTACCAGCATGTTGTTATGTCATTGATGTGGTCATTTCATTACTTATTTTATTTATTTATGAAGAAAATTTACCAAGCCCGCATACGGCGCCATCTCTTATAACCGATACCAAGTTTATTTTGTATTTTGTATACCGCGCCATCTCTGATACCTGGAACGAAGCTCGGCATTGCAGATACAGTAGAACAATGCTGCTCAGGAACTGGAGCTATTTCGAACAGAACTATTCCATTATTCCGATCGGATAGAGTGGTGCAGAAAGAGTAGATCAGATAGAGTAGAACATATGGAGTAGTGCAGTGCAAGCAGTGCAGATAGAGTGAAACAGGGCTGCGCTAGAGATTTTTTTTGTTTTCTTTACATTCTTTGAACATTACTGTGCCTGAGTTTATTTATTTGGTGGTACACTTTACAATTTAATTCAGCTAATAGATACGTTAACACAACAATCAATAGGTATACAGGGTGATTCAAAAGTAAACGGCATCCTTTCGGGGGCATATTCCTTGCATAAAAATAAGACAAAAAGTTCCTATTAACATGGGTCTGGAAATGCTTCCTAAGGGAGCTACGCCCCTTCGAATAGGACACATGAAAGACGTATTTTTCTCTATAACTTTGAAACCCTTCATAAATAGATTTTGAAAATTGGTGTATTTTACAAACATTTGATGGCAATTAAGAGACTAAATTGAAAATTCAAAAATCTTAATCAGTGACGTCACATACTGGGGAGGGTGAGGGTTAAAACATCCCGATTTTTTTTACTCGTCAGGTTTTTGCGATTCTGATTAAATATTCGGAAGGTTTAGAGTTTTTTACATAGAAAAGGTACTCTTGGTTCATTTCGATACAGCGTACCGTTTACGAGAAAATTGACTTTAAAAGTTTTCTGATTTGCGTATGTTTCGCAAAAACCTAACAAGTAAAAAAAATAGGGATGTTTTAACCCTCATCCTCCCCAGTATATGGCGCCACTGATTAAGATTTTTGAAATTTCAATTTAGTTTCTTAATTGCCATCAAATGTTTATAAAATACACCAATTTTCAAAATCCATTTGTGAAGGGTTCCAAAGTTACCTATAGAGAATAATACGTCTTTCAGGTGTCCTATTCGAAGGGGTGTAGCTCCCTTAGGTAGCATTTCCGGACCCATGTTAATAAGAACTTTTTGTCTTATTTTTATGCAAGGAACACGCCCCCGAAAGGATGCCGCTTACTTTTGAATCACCCTGTATTTAATAATTCAGAGGCGGTACGAAGTTCGCCGGGTCAGCTAGTGTCTTTATATTTATTTTTATTTTTTTTGGTAAATAATACGAGCTATAAAGTCGACAAAATTTGATTCAGTGCTTTCTCCCCTCATCTGTCCCAAAATTTTAGATGTGTACAGCATTCATATAAAAAAATTATGGTCACCCAG